ATTCCACTTATCTCCCAACTAACTATTCAACTTCCGATAACTTGAGGTTCCTACTAGAAAACAAAATCACAGACCAATTATTGTTGCAGAACACTTATACTTGACAGAAGGCTCAGATAATCCTTTGAGTAGAAGACTCATCCCTGCAACGGTTAGACTCATACGAGAGCTGCGCAACACGGTCAAATCATTTACTCGGAGATTATTTAATCCAAACTGCATGTGACCTAATATATTCTTCGCATAACAAGCGACTCCGCACATGAGTTCCAAATCAACAATACCACCTTGACTTATCTTGGTGCCCTTCTTGGATAGAACCAATCCAAGACACAATCACATGAGCTTGATCTATCATCAAAACTGAATCCATTCCTTACCCCTGAACCATTCGATTGATGCCTTCGGCATATAGATACCCCAATTCTTATCCCACTGAAAAGAAAATCATGCACATAAACCCTCGTGATTCCCAACTCGAGATCTCATCCAAAAACCAACCCATTGCTTAACTCATAATACGAGATCCATAAATCTGCACTTGCATTTCACCCAAAACCTTCTGATTCATGACAACCCTTCACTAGACCGGGATATAAAGGTTCCCAATCTTTCGCTGAGACCACCAGTCTTGCACATGGTCCAACCTCCAGGTTCCCAATAGTCCAAATAACAAGGCTACCTAGCCTAAAAGCCCCTCTTTGTCACTCACTTACCACATACTTAATCCTGTAACTCAATATCCAATACCTTGACCCAACAGTCTCTACCAGGTCCCACCTGCATTGCCATACATACGCGCGCCTCGCCTACGGGTCCCACCGAAACTAGAGCTACACAAGCACGACTCCACCTCGGACCCCAATGGTCCTCAACCCTAAACAGAGAAATACTCCTCGAAAATCCTGACCGGCGTGCCCAAGGCACGAACTGATCCCTTTTTACGCTCATGACCACTTCCAACAATAGTCTACCTCGAACTGGTGAATGTTAGGATCCCATCGCAGTCTTAAAACACTTCTAACCAACCATGGTTACCACACATAGTCTTACCGCACCCAAACCATCACAACCCCACACATCCTGAGCCGAAACCTGCATCCAACTGCATCCAATCAGGTGTTCGGGTCATGCTTCGAACCCCAAATCCTTCATCAGACAAGAACAGGCAGTGAGGCTCTAACACAACCCTCGACCTGGATCCATCCACAAGCCTGCTATGCATAACAAAGAAGGCGCTGACCAGCTTTTGGAAGTTTCCTGGACTTCCAACTTATACAACTTAAATCCAGACAGCCACTTGGGTTGTGCTCTTAAAAGATATAAATTTACATCACTTCAAAATTGTACAGAAAAATGCTCCACAAAGAAATGTCCGTGGCCATTTCCATCGCCACCAAGTGTGCGCGCTACTGAGCAAATTAATACAAAGAAGTGTAAACAGAGAGTATTTCATGCAAGATGTTTCAAAAAACTTTAGCTAACATATGTTCTTATTGAGTTTCTTTACATATGTGTTCACCATAGATGCAATTAAGAACATTAAGAACAGAAGATTTTCACATCAGACAACATAGATGCAATTAAGAAAACTTTAGCTAACCTGTGAGATTGCAGATTGAAGGGGCGAAGATTTGATGCAGACCTGATGAACGACTTGAGAGTTGAGAATGTAAATCGTGTTTTTTGGTTTGTAGCGTGCATAGAAATAGTGATAAAAAAATAATTTGGTAAAGTTCAAATAAATCGGTTGGAGATATGGTCGACTTCTCTCCAAATCTCTCCAATTTGGGAGGAAGATTAGGAGGTAAGATCTTCCCTTATATTCTCTTATTTTCTTTCCAAATCCACCCAAAAAAAAACTCGGGAACAAGATCGATCCTCCTTTCCTCCCGATTCCTTCCGATTACCTCCCATTCCCTCATTAAATGAGACTTGGGAATGAGATGTTAATAAATTTGAAAGGAAACCACCATGGGGATTTGTTATTTACACAACACCAAACCACATTTTTTAATTTTGAGAGGGAGAACGATTTTTCTAACAAATCTTGATTCACTATAGATAACTTTCTCAAACGTTCATTTACCAATTTTGGTCTCACCATATCAATGTCGTTGAATTTATTAAACGCCAAATCTCATCTTTTCCTATACGAGTAGGATTCGTCACCCAAATATTGTCAATCATGAGCCTGTTTATTCTACCCCACCTTTTAGTTCATGAAAAAACTTGTTATCTTTGTCTCCATCCACATCCTACTTCAAATGCATTTTTTGTTTTAAGTAAATATGAAAAATAGACTTATGGACTCAGTCGAGAACTCAAGATTATCAATTCGCATGGCCATATCAGAAAATTCTAGTTTTTCTTTCGTTCGTAAATTAGATCTTCATGACTGGATGCCATTTTTAAGCTTTTTAAAAAAAATATTTTCCCAACAAGATTAAATCAACAAAACCAGGAGAAACCATAATGCCCCCAAGATTTTTTAACAATGTCCAACAGACCATCATCTTAAAAGATCCATTTTTTTAAAGGGATGTCTTTAATGCAGAGATTCACTAACTGATCACCTGTCTTTTAAAATTAATATAGCTTAACCAGTACGTTACCTAATACAATAAAATGAAAACTAGACAAAACTTCATAAATGGTCCATGTGGTTTTCCAAAATTCGAGATTTAGTATCTAACTTGAAAAACTTCATGGAAGATCCCTTTGATTTTCAATTTTTATCGCGGTTGGTCCTTCACCCACATAAAAAGACTTCTATACATTTTCATTTCTTTTTATAATAAATTTTAATTAAAGCTATTTAAGAAAAAAGAAAAACAAAACAACTAAAACCCATCCTTGGGCACATCTCTCTCTCCCTCTCTCTCTCTCCTAACAATTTCATTCACTATTTCTTTATTTCAATATGAATTCAACTGTACAGGATGCAAATTAAACTTTAATTTTCAAGGCACTTCAGTTTTAACTGTTGTCTTCTTCTACTAATGATGTACATTCTTTGTACCACCGGTTCAAACCATCTTGGTGAAGGATGTTCACGGACAGATATGGAAGTTCCAACATATTCATAGCTGGTGATTTCATTGTGTTTTTAAGAGCCGATAATGGCGAACTTTATGTTGGAATCATGAGAGCATATAAGAGAATCAACGGAGGCTTTCTCGAGAGCTCCACTCATTCTTTGTCTCTATACCGCGGTGGGTTCGCCAGAATATACCATCAGAACAAGAACAACACCAACATCTACGAGAATAACCAAAGAAAAGTGAGCGATGAATCAGTGAAGGAAGTTGCGACTCTTGCAGCCAACAGACAACCATTTGAAGATGTGTACTACCAAACCAAAATACCTTTAATGGATCACATCCAATAACACCAAAAAGAATAATAACAAAACCCTAGGAGATAGGAGGCTAGGATCGAAAACTCCACAAACCCTAGAAAGGTTAGGATTTTCGTCCACCTTAAGGAGAGGAGGGGAGAATGGAATTTTGAAGCCTTGAATGAGCATATAGGGTTTGATCCCTAGCTCCCTATTTATAGGCTTCCGTTGCTTAGTCCCAAAGCAACTCCAAAACCCTAGGAAATCCTTATCAAATTCGTCCACCCTATGCTTAGGGTTCTGGAATGTTCAAATTAATTAACTTTTAATTAATTAATATTCAACCCTTTTATTTAATTAATTCCAAAACAATTTTTAATTATATTATCAAAACATGACAAATTAATAAACTATTTTCTCTTGTATATTCTTTTTGTCTTTTAATTGCTCAAATAGGTTTTTAGGACAACTCAAAAGGACCTTGTTATTAATATAATTATTACCAATAGTTAATGACATTGGAAACTTTTTCCAACAGTTAATATCCCAAATTCAACAACCCCTATTTTCCAACCATTTATAATCCACAAAACTACTTCCAACAACCTATACCACAACAATTTCATAATTCCCAATTCCGAGCTTTTCAACAATAACCTCTTAACCTCAACCTTTACAATCACAACCATCTTAACCCCAAACTCAAGTCCCATTTTCTCAAACTCAACCTACAAACCTCGAAGATGACGGCGATGACAAAAGGGTCCAAGAAACTAAACCATTGCCAACAACGAGACAAAGAAACATAACCTCGTACGGTGGTCGGGTTCTGAGTTTAGTAAGAATATTTGCAACAATTGTAGGTTTGCAAAATATTGTAAGAGAAGTATCAAAAACACCGCCATGTTGTAAAAAAACAAAGAAAATATTAATTTCAAAACAATTCTAGAATATAACTAGTTCTCCAAAATACATTGTGTTCAAAATTCCAGATTTGTTCTACGGATTCCGAAGTAGTTCGTCGCATCCTGGACATGTTCCATGTGTTCCGAAAAACCTCAATCTCATCGAAATCAGATGCAATATCTTTTTTGCTTAGTTGATCTGAAATATGATGATATTCATGCATGCGTTCCGGAACAGATTTTGTAATCCATAACTCAATCAAAATGGGCCGGATTGAATAACGTTTGAATGGTCTATTCCGGAGAAGATGATTATTTAAAAAAAAAGTTCAAACATAGTATTATTTAAAAAATAAAAAACAATAAAAAGATAGTTAGATCAATTTCCCATAAAAATAAATATTTAAAATATTATTGAAACATAATGATTAAGCTGTCAAATTGAAATTTAATTTAAATCTAATTGATTAGATTAATGAAGTTGCCATAAATCGTCAAACGGATAAATTCAAAATCCCTTTAAAGAATCGTTTTCATAGCACTTGACTCTCTCCACCTCCGAAACCGACTCTACTCCTTCGATTTTATTCCCCCTCTCGCACAACTCCATTAAATCAACCAATACTTCAAGCCCTAATTTACGCGTCTTTTCCTTTTCACAAATTCCCTTTTCTCTTTCCAACAATTTCTTCTTCATTCCGGTGTACAACGTTTTTGATTCCTTTTTCACACGCCGGGATCTGACGTTTCAAATAATGGTCGTCAACGGCCGTCCATTAAAGAGGATGAAAAGAAGAGTAACGGCCGACCTCAACGATTTTCTAACTTTCCCCTCCGGCGATTTAACGCCGACGGCCCCTTTCCGTACCAGCGTCCGTGAGTTTTTGCTACGGCACGCGCTCCTACCCCCGCCGTCGTCTCTCCTACCGCATCTGCTGACGTGGCAGATCCTGTTCCGGGTTGGGGAACAGACGAGCTCCGCCGTGGGCGGTGGCGATGCGTCTGTTTGCCTCGATGTGGTGGAGGAAGACGTGATCAGATCTAGGTCGGTTTATTGCGATCAGTGCCGAGTTGTTGGTGAGTTAACTCAACTCGACCGAATCCGATTCAGTTTGACTCGGTCATCTTTTGCATGTTTTCTTGCTTTTGGTTGGTTGTTGCGTTCTCGAAATATCCAAAATCAAATTAGATCTCAAATTTCTCGTATTCTCAATGCGTCTTTAATATTGCCAGCTGGATTGGCGGGAAAATTGGTGATTAATTAATGATGGTAATTTTGATTTGTATGGCTGCTTAAGCTTAATTAGTGCTAATCATCAATTTTGTCAAAGATAAACTAATAATAAAAATAATTATTTTATTAATAAAATAATAAAATAAACAGTTTTATACTTTTATTATAATAATAATTTAAAAGTCATGGTCATGTGGGGGGTTTGTCATCGGGTAGATATGATTGATGCTGACACATTACTTGGTGACATTAACGACATTCGTGGGTCTTCTTGTTTGGTACGTGTCTTTTTAGTCACGTACTTTTAGCTAAAAAAGTTGAAACAAATTCTCTCCGATCTCGTCTGATTTTATTTATTCGTAGTGCTTAGGCAGCGGTTTGTCGATAATTCCAAGTCATTTTGCTTTGGTCTGGTTTCAATCCGAAATTGCTAGTTGATTCTTGTGTTATTAGGTTTTACATGTTCAAACATTGCATAAATCCGATGACAAATGACACTTTCTCTCAGATAAGATAATTCTGTGTTTTATTCATTGTGTTTATGTCATTTGTGTTGTATTTTGGCGATTAGGCTTGAAAGAGCTATTGTGTTATAAAGAATAATTCACTTAATATATACAAAGACTTGGTATAACTGGATTGTTATATGTATATGAAGGGTGGAGCGGGAATCCTGTATGTGGAAAGAGATACCATTTCATAATAAAGGGTGATGGGGCTTCCATTGGTGGTTATAACAAGTCATGTGCTGGTTGTGGTGCTTTCCCTCCATTTATCTGACTCAAGGTCTGCTCTCTCTCTCTCTCTCTCTCTCTCTCTCTCTCTCTCTCTCTCTGTGTATATGTGTATGTGTATGTGTCTCTGTTTGTTTTTCTTGTTATCTCATGAGAATTCTACACAAAGAAACTGAAATCATAAATAAAAACCATGTATCCCAAGTATCCAATTAGTGCTATATGTAATCCATAGTTAAAAATACTTGTGTTATGTATCATTTATCAAAGTGTATGTGTATTGATTTTGAGGTTTTGTAGGTGTAAGACATGTAACCATGTGATGACTACAGAAGATATAGAGGATTGGATGTATAACCAATTGGATGATACCAATCATCTTTTACATGGTGTAGTTCATGTAAATGGTTATGGACATCTTCTTAGAGTCAATGGGAGAGAAGGTGGGTCAAGGGTCCTTTCAGGCACTCATATCATGGACTTTTGGGATCGACTTTGTAAAGTTCTTGGAGTCAGGTTAGGAATCTCTCCTTTTTGGGTGTTTTTTTTGTTATTTTTTTTTCTTCCATTTTTGGGGTTTGTCAGTTGCATAAAGCAATGAAAATAACAGTTGAATACAAGGATTTTTCAAAGTCAAAATCTATAAAAGAATGAATAACAAGTTTATCGAATTTTGCAATTGTTTAGTAGGGAAAATACTGTAAAGCACTTGTACTTTTTGCTATTTTCTTGTTTTTGGTTACTTAAACTATTTTCTGTACTGATTAAACATTATCCTTTTTTTAACTGATTTAAGAATCCATTTTTCTGGTTTTGATATCGTGGCATTTAGAAAATCACAATGCCATTTAACAAATAGTTCAGTGGCTAAAGTGATAATAAGATGAAAGTAAGCTATGTGTGAGTGTGTGTTTTTTTAATTGTTAACTCTTTTTGAACACACAGTGACTGAAAAAAAAGGTACTTTTAAACAGTTGTGATTGGTATAATGGTTTGTTTAATCACTCTTGTTTTCTTTTTCTTAATTTTAAACTTTTAGAAAACAGAGTGACTGAAAAATGGTACTTTTAAACAGTTTTAATAGGTATAATGGTTTGTTTAATCACTAAGAAATTGATTAAGCTGTCAAATTTTTTAAATGGTGAAATACATTTTGCTTTTCTGTTTTTTATCCTATAAAAAACATTTTGGTAATCTAAACCAATTGGAGTGCAATGGAAACTAAAAGAAACCCTAAATAGTTAATCAAACAACATATAGTTCAGTTTAGTTTTCATCTTTTGTTTTAGAACAAAAAACCCCAACTCAATTTAAAATATACTTCAATTTTTTTTTCTTATGACCTTGCACTTCAAAAAAGCTATCAAAATCAACCCAATTCTAACAAAATTACTCTGTATTTCAATGACACAGACAAGTGAGTGTCATGGACGTATCAAAAAAATACGGTTTAGACTTCCGACTACTTCACTCAATAATCAAGGGTCATCCATGGTACGGAGATTGGGGTTACAAATTCGGTGCGGGAAGTTACGGAATTACCCTTGAAGCCTACAACACTGCTATCGAAACCCTAGCAAACACACCCTTATCCACTCTCTCACCCCAACCCTGTAAACCCAGAACACACCTCCAAGACTCAATTTCCTTCTACCAATCCTTATCCGATCACAAACTCCTAACTTTTCGAGACCTTTTCCAATACCTAACAACCCTAATACACGATGCCAACAAGGTCGATTTTTGCTCTTCAAAGAAGGCTAAATTGAGTGATTCGAGGGTGTTGTGTGCGTGGAGTATGGGTGATATACTCCGTGTTGAGGAGGCAATGTTTAGGGTTTTACGCGCGGTTAGTGGGTCCGCCTGGGTTAGCTGGCGGTCCCTACGTGGGGCGGTCTGTCGGGTGGGTCGGCCTGAGCTTTTGGATTATTGTCTTAAGGAGTTGAAAGGGAAACAAGCGGCGGATGGGATGGTGGTTAACACGCGTTTGAATCCGGATTCCGGTTCTATTGAATACCGGTTAGTTCTAAATTTTCTTTTTAAGTTTTTCATTATAGCATCCTACTTTCATTTATGGGATAATGACATAAAAGCCCTTAAGTTACGCAAAATTATGTAGATTTACCTTTTTGTGGATTTTAGGTTTTGCAACTTTTTTTTTTTTTTTTTATTTTTTATTTTTATTAATTTACCCTTTTTGTAGATTTACATGGTAAAAGCGAACATTTTTGTCTAACTTAAGGGCTCTAATGAATCGAAAAAACAAACTTAAGGGCCTTTAAAAAAAGGTAAAACCGAACATTTTCAAAAAAATTTAAGAAAATGAAAATTTTCTCTTTTTCAAATTGTATGCAAATTAGAAAAGTGATTTTTACGGTTTTTCTAAATTTTCTAAATTTTCTAAATTTTCCTAAATAGAAAATGAAAATTCCACCGGTTCCAACCAAATGCGTTTTCTAAAATATTTATTGAAAACTGAAAATAAAAACTAAACTCTATTTTCTGAAAACATTTTTTTGGAAAATTAAAACAGTTTTCCACAACCAAATGCACCCTAAGGTTTTTAATATACCAGAAATACACAAAAGGGTAAAATTGAAAAAAAAGTTGCAAGCATCCGGTTTTAGTGAACCTAAAATTCACAAAAGGACAAATTCGTACATTTCTGCCAAACTTAATGGCTTTTTTGTCGTTATTCCTTCATTTATTTATGTTATATTTTGTTGATTTTGAAAGTACAATACTAAAACAAGAAAGTAATCAATGTAGGTTGGAACCGGGAAGCGGGAATTCAATCTCGATGACCAACAATCCGAAATTCCCAAATTGCCCCTCGGAAGATCATTTATTACGAGATCTAAGATTCTTGTACGAATCATTACTCTGTCCTCCTCAACACACAACCCCAAATCACATAACAAACCAAACTTCCTCCGCCCAAAAAATCCTTGACTGCAAACAATTTGTAAAAAACTACCACCCCGAACTCCGATTCCCAAACTCAAACCCGCATTCCCTAATCCTAAACTGCAAACTCCAACTCACGCAAGAACCAACCACAATTAACCCACCTCCCGAACACCTAATCCTTCCCTCAAACGCAACAATCCATGACTTAAAAACCGAATCCTCGAAAGGTTTCCAAGATGTTTATTTAGTTCTTAGAAGGTTTGAAGCCGATGAGCTCGTTGGATATGGAGGTGTCGATGAGTCCACCCAAATCAAGCTCTTAATCGGGTCGAATAATAATAATAATATTAATACAATTACCGTTAGTGGGAAGTGTGTTGGGAGTGGGAATGGGAAGAGCGGGTTGACTCGGTACCGGATGGAGAGAGGGGTGGAGACGTGGACGTTGGATTGTCGGTGTGGGGCGAAGGATGATGATGGAGAGAGGATGTTGGCGTGTGATGGGTGTGGGGTGTGGCAACACACGAGGTGTGTGGGGATTGATGACTTGTGTTCGGTTCCAGTGAAGTTTGTTTGTTGTAAATGTGGCGGCGATGGTGGCGGTGGTAGGGCGGTGAATGGTGGAGGCTGAATTTTTTTTGGGGGTTTTTTTGTATATTCTTTTTTTGTTTTAAATAATGTTTTAGTTTTGGATGGGATTTTGGTGTTGGGAGGCGTTGAAAAGGTGTAAATATATGGGACTTTTGGGTTATAGCCTCTACAATAAAAACACTCGTCCTTGATCACAATTCTGTTCTTTTGATTTTTTTTATGTTTTTATGGGAAATAATGATTTTTTAGGCAATAAGATAAAGATCTCGTAAGGTTTAAGACTTTAAGTTAAGGTGTGGGTAATACTCTCAAATGTCTTTATTTTGAACGTCGTTATTGCCACATGTCAATACTCTCACAAAAACATTTCCTACTCGATGCTTATAGCCTAAATCGATTCCTAGTTTATCTCACAATTTGTTATTTAATTTCATGATTTTCATCTGCATCAATTGTCTTTCAGTACATAAATTTTAACCTCGATGTATATTATAAAACCAAATAAACTTTCAATCTCGGAAATAGAAAAATACATAAAAAAAAAATGCTTTATCAGATTATTTCTTCAATCTTTTTGGCAATTAAATGGTCAAACGTTTATTTTTTTTTAATCTTATTTGAAAATAAGTAGTTTTACTTTTTTATTTGTCAAACCCTTAAAATCATGTCGTTGATACGATATGTTTACTCAAAAATATTGAAGGACTTAATTAATGTAATTAAAGATCAAATGATAATATTCAATATAAAGAAAATAATAGAATAAATAACATAAATATTATAAAATGCCGAATTTAGTATCAAACTAGAGGGTGTGTGAAAGCATTATATTCTTTAAGCGTCTTCAGCTTGAGACAATGCCTTCTCTATGCACAAAATCACACCAACACCTAACAAAACATATAAAAATATTTTAAAAAATAATCAATTACCTTCCGAATTAACTAATGACTCCATCCACCCTAGAAACAAACCATGAAAGGAAATAACATTTCTCGCCATTTCAGACGAGTATCAACATTTATTCAAATCTATTTCTAACCCACTACTAAGCAATGAAGAGTAAACTCCAATCTAGTCGTAGTATTCGTTAAACCGAGAAGTTCGATAAAAAGAACGCTAAAATCTGACTTCGTATGAGGAAGTTATGATTTTTACAAGTTTCAGCTTAGCAGTAGACAGCTACTACTTTCACTTGTCTTCCCTTCCGATTAGTTGTGAATTGTGATATCAGTTGCTCAAATGAATCAACATGATAACGAATTAAACTCACAGATCAATGATAATAAACCAAGTAAAAAATGAATACAATGTACTATTCAAATAAATGATAATAAATTTCATCCCTTTGCAACTTGCAAGAACAATCAACAAGGTTCTAAAAAGCTCGTCATGGCTCCGTCATGGCGCGTCATGGCTCCAAGGCTTGTACCTGCCGTCAAGCTTTACCAAAACGCCGCCTTAACTC